CATAATTATTGCATAAATAAGAATAAACAAAAATATTTTAAAAAGACATGCACTAGATTAAAACCGTTAAAAACTACAATAAAAAATCACAAGTAAAACTCGTCCAGGGCTTTCCTAAACAAAACTTTAGAATTAATGTTTCCCAAGGGTAATTGCAGTGAATTTAAAAGCAAAGCAAGTAGTATAGTAATTCGGGTGTACAGCACATTTCAAAATGAGGGGTTCAAAACAAAAAAAATCTGATATCAAAAGTCCAAATCCAAAAAATGTTCTGTAAAAGTTTTGAAAAATTCATCAAAAAAATTCAGATCAAAAATCCAAATTCCAGAAATGTGAAAACTTTATTGAAAAATATTTTCAACAAAGTTGAAATCCAAAAACGCAGATTCATGAAAATTCAAAATGGCGGATCTAAAACCAGTTCAAAGCGGTTCAAGCTTGTTCAAACTTGTTTTTCAAATTTGGGGAATCCTCGAAATAAAAGCACTTAAAGAAAAAATCACGTATATAAAATATGGGTATGGAGAATACCAGATTAAAAAAAATCGAAAAACACTTAAAGAAAAATCACATATAGAAAATATGGAAAAAATATATGTACATATAACATAGATATGAATAAAAGCGAATTACTGAATCTGACAAAAGACCAGCTCATTGACGTAATAATGCATTTGAGACCTGTTCCAGAATATCAACAAAAAACATTAAACAGGAAAATCAAATTCGCTCCATCGTTCAATAATGTTAAACAGATGGTTCAAGCTTATGTAGAAAACATAATTGAAACACCTATAGAGTTTCGAGATTATTATAAACCAGAGTAACCAGTGCTTAAACCAAAAACAAAGAAGCCTGTTCCTCTACCAAGAACAATAATTGATGAGACGAACAAGGCTTTAAAAGGATACATTAAATCATATGAAATAAACATAAAAAATTATTTCAAATATCCATTAATTCAAATGCAGCGCACACGATTCGGCTCTGCATGGAAGAGGCTACAAAATTGAGGGAACATATTCATCATATGCATGGTAAAGAAAAGAAAAATCCTAGCGAAGTCCAAGCATCGCGTGAGAAATTTGGTAATGTTTCAGAGACAGAAAAACTGGTTGGCCAACAGGACATTCAATCCAAAAGAGAACTGACTAAAAGTACACCTACGGAGACTGAAGGTAACTCAAAGCCACTTTACTTTTGTTTTTCGTAAGCTTTTTTCGTTTTCAGGAGGGCAAAAACTAACACGGAATTCATGTTTATTTTTACGTAATTTTTGTGATCATCAAAGCATAGCTAATTAACTAAGTCTTGAAAAATGTAAACTACTACCCATTCGAAACGTCTGGATGTAAAAGGATGCTAATTTAATCAGTGCCTAATCAGTGTAACGGCAATCCTTTTCATCAACCCTTTAGGGGTGTTTCCAATACACTTGGTATTTTTAGTTTTGATTGCACTTAATTTTATGTTTGTACTATTTTTGGTTTTATCACTTTAAAGAATTTTTATTTTCGTCTCTCCTTTCTAATTTTTCCGGTATAATTTCTTACAATCGCCCCTCCCATGCGCTATTCTATTACGTTTCCAGGCAACAATGATTCGCGGCTAAAGTTTTCGGCAGTCATATTGTCACAGTTATCAGATGTCCAACGACCCAGAGCCATATTGGCACATCAGAATAGCCCCGACCAGCAGCATAACGCGCACCACCAATACGAAAGACCATGACTTTTGTAAGAACTAGTATCTAAAGCACAGGAAACTGAGCACTGCTGTAATTTTGACGTTAAATGGGTGCGTAGAAATTGGATTTTAATCAGCATGCAGAATAGAGGACCAGAACTCCTTCCGCGCAATTCTCATTACTGAATAAGGGCTTTAACGGTGCAATATCCGGAGAAGTCCTCTCGGGCAATTAAAATATCAAAAGACCGACGGCTAGTGTTACGCTTCTACTCTGAAATCGTAATTTTCGCCCTGTGAATATGGCCATCGCGGGACAAGAAAGTCAGGCTACTGTATCGCACGACAGAATGCAAAATCAAGTGCTTTTACACTTTTCACTATTTTCATTTGTTACGAGGATCGAATTATTTTTACTGAATCTGTCACGCAATCCCAGACTTTTATAGAATTATCTATAATCTGTAA